CAGTTGTAGATCGGGCAACGAAGATGGTACACCTGGTACCAATTCAGCAGACCATCACAGCTGCTGAAACTGCCCGTGTCTACTGGGACAACATAGGGAAACTACACGGGATCCCCAGGTCAATTGTCAGTGACCGTGACCCAAGATTTGTGTCCAAGTTCTGGCAAGAATTCTGGAAGTTATTGGGGAGTAAGCTGCGGATGTCCAGTGCCCACCACCCTCAGACAGATGGTCAAACGGAGGCAGCAAATAGGGTGGTGGAGCAAGTCCTCCGATGCACAATCCATGCGAGTCAGGACATCACACACTGGGAGCGTTATCTGCCCATGGTGGAATTTGTAATGAACAGCAGCGCATCACCAGCTACGGGGCATACACCGTTCTACCTCAACTATGGGTTTGAACCAGTGACCCCATTGGACTTGATACGGGACGTTGACCAGACAAACCTTGAAGGGGTTGACGTTTTCGTTAAACGTATGAAGAAGACGTTCAAGCTGGCAATGCAGATGGTTCAACAGGCACAACAGAGACAGAAACGCCAGGCCGACCAACGGCGGCGTGATCAGCGGTTTCACAGTGGGGAACAGGTGTTGCTGAGCACCGAACATCTACAATTGAAGAATGCACCTGTTCGCAAACTCAAGAGGCGATTCGTGGGTCCCTTTGCTGTGGTCCGTCCGGTGGGACCAGTGGCCTATGAATTGGAGCTGCCTAAAGGGTGGAAGATTCACAATGTCTTCCATACGAGTTTGCTTCGACCATTCAGAACGTCCAAATGGTCATCCCCACAGGAAGATGAAGATGCTGAGATTGAAGTTGAAGCCGATGAACCATATGATGTGGAGAAGCTGCTGCGTTGGAGATGGGCAGGCCCCAGTGGCAGGAGGCACAAGGAATTTTTGGTGTTATGGACAGGGTGGAGTCTGGATGATGCCTCCTGGATACCGGCAGGAAATTTCACCTATGCGAGAGAGCTGCAGAAGATGATCAAAAGGGACAAGCCCGAGGAAGTCACTAGTATGGGATAGTGACGCTTTCGAGGGCGAAAGCTACCCCAAGGGGAGAGTACTGTTGTGGAGCTACTTGGGGGCAGGCAGTAAATGATATTTTCTGCAGCTGTATTACGTAATCTCGCTGAGTCATCCTTTTCTACGGTTTAATTATGATTTCCTGGTTCCAATGCTTCTTTCAGCACTCAATTCTATGGATTATTGAGGAAGATACGGCCTCATGAAGACGCAGTACTTAGAGGCCGGGTGCTGGGCGGGGATGGTTGGAATTAGAGCTAGATTAGGTGATTATAGGTGACGGAGGGGCGCTGGTACACGGTCTGTACATTACACTGTGTTGTCTTGTCTGATGTGACGCGATGGACCCGCGACCGGGTATCGCGCAGGTACATTGGATGCGCGCCGCGTTGTGTCAGACTGTAACCGCATTCGGGCCCCCTCTCTGCCCCGCCGCGAGGCAGCGAACCGCCGTTCGCCGCCGCGATTCCACCGCCTGCGCACGGCAGGCTTCGGGGAAGGTCCCCAAGCGTCCAAGGGCCCACCGCACTACCGAACAACCGAGCACCCCGACAACGCCCGCCGGAATCCGGCGGAGAGGCGCGGCATCGAGGCCGCGCCATCGGGTGCGGCGACCGCCCCCAACACTCCGGAAACCAGCGGCCGCCCGCGGGCCGCAACAGGTTGTCTCAAGGCGATCATGGTCAACACAGGTTCAAAGGCCATCACGATTCCCCATCATGCCGCCTTTTGTCAAAGTATTTTGTTGCCTTGCTCCTCCTCCCGTGTCATTCCCAAAACTGTTGTGGTAGATGGCGAGCGGGGGGGTATCAGCGAGGTAAATTGGGTCGTGTTCGGAAATGGGGGGCGGCGCAACTTGGGGTTGGCTGTGGGCCACAGTTGAGCATCTTTCAATCATCCAACATTGGGGTAGAGGGTCTAAAGGGGGCAGAAAGGGATAGTGGCAATTTTTTAGATTTTGCAGAGCAATCTATCTAATTGCCTTACTGCAAAAATGAACTTTTGTTCTTACCATTAAAACGTAGTGTGGTGCTTGGCCCTTATGAGACACAAGGGATTAATAGTGTCTAGTGGGTTCTTTACAAGAGTCTTTGTGACTCGTTCCTAATCGCCAAATCTCCTTCATTATCAAAATTGATGGCATTAGGATTTGAGGACCTCTGGTAAACTTTTCTGCAGAACCGCAACAATTCATGCCTCGTTATGATTAGTTGGCCTACCGTATATCTATTTGATAGTTTCCAATTCGGGATAAGGGAGGTAGTTTTGATTCCTGGGGGTCGCAAGAGATGGGTTTTTTGTCAACTGGTCTGGGAGTCTATCCACGATGCACATCATATATTTGTGACATTGTCTACTTGGGCAGCTGCTTTGCGATCCAAGTATGTTGTGGTTTTCAAGATTGGTCTTAGAACTTGTCATATGTACATGGTCCACAATTTTCCTTTTTGCTTATCTCTTTCCTAGAAATCATAGTCTCGGAGTCCTATGACAAGCCCTACTAAGGAAACTAAGGTCTTACAAGAAATTTTGTAATTAGTAAAGCTCAAGGCAATGCGTGAGGTGGTACATCATTCCAACATTTGGTGTGGCTAATAAAAAACTCAGCTAGGCTGGTTTTGGATTTCAGGTAGTTGAACTCATGCATCCGCTATTAGCCATTTTTTTCAGTGCACTGCGAGATGTCGTTGGTAGCTTTATGACTATTTCACATTGGTTCGGCGCTGGATCTTTCCAATGTCTATTTGCAAATGCGACTTGCCCTCCATTTATGGTGGGCCGTGGGGTTGGTGGTAGTTGGGCAGTTCTTTGAGTACATGTGATTGCCATTTGTTATTCGAACAACTCACACGAGTTTTTGCAAACCTTGCAGCCTACCATTTAACAGGTCTTAAGACGCATCCATTCTCAAATACTTTTAACATGAATGTTAGTCTTTTGCTTTCTCAGCTAGAGTCCTAACACTAGCGGTACTTGGAGATTTCGTTAGCAAAGTAAGAGCAGGATGGGTGGCAGGTGAATCGCAATGAACACCAGTTTTGTCAGAACCATTTTAAATATCTGAGTGTGATACTGACTTCTTTTGGCCTGGAGCCTATAGATTCAGTCTTGTCTCAGTTTAACGCTCTAAGCCTACAACTCAATAGGGATGGCACCAAATTTGTGGTTGGCTAAATCATTTTGCTCGTTTTATTTGGCGAGGGCATCAGGTGTTAGCGGCTTTGCGTGAGGTTCAAGCACATCCTTTGTTGGAGCGGTGGCAACACTTTCTCTCCCTCTTGCATCGTTATTTTGTTTGATGTGCTATCCCCTCTTCTGCCACTTTTGGGTCTTTCACTATGATTGCTAATGAGAGCAAGATTGGTTGGGTGCAATTTTACTTGTTCATCAGCGAACTGTCCGTTGTGCACATGGATTGCAGTCCTCAAGTTTTCAGTACCATGTCAGCAATGTGTTGGAGTTAGAAACATTCTATTGGGTCCTCTAGATGCTCTGGCCCTAGATTTTTGGTGCTCCAGTTCATACAATCATGGATAACTAGGCGGCGGTGAGTTTCAACAATCCTGCCAACTTGAGCAATCTCCTCAAGCGGCGACTGGACCATCTGTCCTGGTACTCTCCTCAGATCTCATTGCCCCAGTATTTAATTGTTTGGCAGGCTTTTTGTCCATACCGGGGGGGGAGAGATCTCACATTCGCACAGTAGAAGGCACAATCTCTCAGCCATAATGGAAGCACACCCTATGAGGAAGACATATCTTCGTTTTTGCTAAATATATTTGCATTTGACATGGTAGTGGGTGACTGACAGAGTGCGATCGTGCAAAGAGTATCAGTTGTTTCATCAACTACAACCATCAAACCCGTCTGGTAGTTGGCATGTACCAGAAAAGCTTGGCCAAGTTATTGGCTTGGATTTCATGGAACCTTTTTCTAGGAGGAAAGTGGGAGAGCAGTGATTTGTGCTCGCCATTGTGGATATGTTGACTAGATGGGCGGGGGCCTGGGCAATAATGGGTGCAAGAGGTGCAAACGTTATGAGGGGACTAAAAATATGGACACAGACAAAAGAGATGCCTTTAGACTTGTGTTCTGACATGCACAAGGCGACGTAATCCAAGGAGTTGGAGAAGTGGTGCATGCAAGAGGGACTGACGGAGGAATCCTCGCCTCCCTATCACCACGCGTCCATTGGATTGGCAGAACGGTTCAATCAGACATCGTTGAACCATCCGTGGTGCATGTGGGCAGAGGAGCCAAAGTATTTTGCCAATACAGTAGAGCGAGTAGTGGAGGTCTACAACGACATGCCACTATCTTCGCTAGATGAGAGTAAGGAGGCTCCTAACTCTTTTGTGTTTGGATCATCAAACCAGATATGGAACAGTTCACGGACCATGCAGAAACGGCTACACGAGTATGTGCACAAGCAACATGCATTGGCAAACCATAGGGCAAAGGATCTATGTATCCAGCAGACATTCCATCTAGGAGATTGAGTGTGGTTGTGGAACACAAAGGTCAAGACTTTGAAAGACAAGCTCGAGCCTAGTGGAAGAGCCCAGGGCGGCTAATTCACCCCATGACAAATGCGGTTTGGGAAGTGCGGGGGCCCTCTAGGTTAGGCATACGGACATGATCCAACCACATAGGGGTGCAGTCTAAAGGGACAAGGAAATTCAACAAGTGATTGTTTAGCGCAGGGAAGCATGTGAGGGTGAAGAAATTATGGCAGTAATTATTAGGGGAGTGGTGTTAAATATGGTGTGACTAGACATGGTGAGCATGGGAACAGTGATTACTAACTAGGGACTTTTCATGCAAACACCATTTTGATTGATATGCTTGTCTTGTAATGCATGTGCTTATGGCCTTGCTTCCCGTGCTTGGGAGCTACCGAGTGTGGACCGAGCGCGATAGTCAATCCAACAAGCATAGTCGCCACTCAGCCCCCACCTACACCCTTACCTGCTCAACGGCCTTTTGGACAGCACTATCAGGATCCATCACACGTGACATAGGCCTCCACTGGTCAGACGCTCTGGGACTCATCGTGCCACCGCTGACTGAAGCCTTGCCTGGAGAGGCACCTGATGTCTGTGAGCCTGAAGCCGCCCTTTTCGCAGGTGTCTCTGGCAGGGGCCGTGAGAGAGTGGGACTGACCTGTGCTGCAGCACTTCCATTGGCAACCAAGGGACCACAAGCCTGCAGACCACACACAGAATAGAATTCAGAAAGGCTTGGATGTAGCATCACCATGCTCTTGTCTGCAGCTCTACATACAGGGCAGTGCATGAGCCAAAAGGTATGGCAGTTGTTGCCTTTTTTAACTGAAACTTCCAGCAGCATAACCAGCATTCTGCAGTGAAGGAAAGGGTGCTGTGTTGTCAGTTGCTTGTCTTGCATTCCAAAATACCCACATCGTCAATCACATTGTGGACAATAGTGTCATCTCATGCAAAAGAAGACAGCGTGGCTGCATGATATGTTATTACATACTTGAATGACAATCTTCACATCTGAAACATTCTCTACTGGGCAAAATGCCCTGTGCTGCCATAAAATCTCAGTTGTGGGCATGTTGGCTGCACATCGTGTGCAGCTGACGCACCAGCAATTGACAACCATGTGCCAACACAATGTACACCAAGAACTCCCTGTTTACCTTAGGTTACTTGCGGATGATTGGATGGGGGCAATACCACACACATTTCGCACTTGTAGTACTAATCCTAGCGACCAGGCCAACTGAAAAGCTGCAAGCAAAGTAATTATCTCCAGTTTTCAGAGTATCACCTGAAACAGGTTGAGCGCATGCACATTATGATTCACAAGGTGGCTCGACACCAACACCTTGAAGGCCAATTTACAGATGCACAGTGTTGAACATAGACTTTGTCATGAGAACACGGTCGATCTGCAATGGATGTCAAGTTCCTTGGATGCAGATGCTTGGCTACCAACTATGCAGTGTTCATGCCACAGCTCTGATGTTGCAAATGAATTGCTGCCTGTGACTCTTAACAATGCAACCGCACTGCTTTTCCAGTTCCGACCAAATCGTCGATGAAGAACTACATCAGGATCAGGTTCGTTCTTCGTTGCAGTTTTGGGCTTTGTTCAGAAACGCAGCAGCCTGCACAAGCAAAGGAGCAATGCCTTGCCTGAGCAGAGACCGAGTTGGGATCCTTTAAGGCAGCAAAGATGGAGCACAGGATCTCCACATCAGTGTCCAAAGTTGCCCCCCCTGCAGCAGCGCGCCAGGCAGCTGCCGCTTCCTTCACATACATACTGACCAGTCGTCAGCTCCAGGTGCCAGCGCAATTCCTCAGGGACAGCACTCATTGAAATCAAATGAGTAGCTACCCACTCAAGTACTAAACAATCGAAGTGTGAAGCACATCAGCACAAGGAGGGAACTGTGACTGCTGGTGTTGCTACAGGAAATGCACCTGCCAGGCTACCTTGGGTGACACATAGACAGCATGTTGTTGTTCCCACTCCCAATCAAAGCAACAGCCACATCTAGACATCTCTTCAGCATGAATTATTGAATGTATCCTCGAAAGACAAATCCGCTCCAAAGGACGTCACCAGAGGTGGTGCGCAGTGCAGACAGTGGCACCTAGAAAATTGATCAATACAGCCAGGACAGGGACTGCATGCCCCTGTGTCCGTTCTCTGTTGTTTTCTTTTCCTTGAAAGGAGCATGGCCATTGTGGACTGGCCCTGCCTACCCACCCCAGAATGGAGTGCTGGGTACAGCAGTACACAACAGGGACAAAGAAAATTCCATGACAGCAACATGAGCCCAAAATAGTAATGGAACAGATAAGGCAAGCGATATAGCAAGCATCTCTGCTGAGTGCAGATCAGACAGCATCAGTCAGCCATCTACAAGGACCTCACAATGCAAGCACTGAGCAAGCACTGCAAAAAGAGCCATGGGCAATGCTTCACCTGGGCACGCCCGAGCTTGTGGAGCACCTGCCCGCGCCTGAAGTCAACCTTGGGGTCGGCACTGCCTCGTGCTTTGGCAGAGTCATAATCCTGTGAACAAACCCAAATATTACTTTAAACGAAAAGAACAAACAATCATCAAGGGGTGCCTCAGTCCTGAGGAACACTATTTCAAGGCTCTGCTCCATGCTTAGTCTACACCTAAGACATATCAGGGTTCATCAAATCTGTGGGAATCTGACACTCATCTACACCAACACTTGCACCAGCTCTTCACCCAAAGCACATCCGACTGTCCCTCTTGCACTTGCCATGCACTTTGTTTGCCTGTGGGCCCACTTTCTGCTCACTTGACCCCTTGTTGTGCTCTCCGGGAAAGCACTACATAAGCTGCTGCCATTGACTCCCACATGACCCCTGTCGCCTCCTTGCACCAAGCTGTTTGCACATGCGCACTGGCACAGCTGCGAGCATTGATGCGGAGCAGAGTCTCACTTCCATTTTCTTCAAGAAGGTGTCCAGTGCATCGCCTGTTTCCCCTTTCCCTTAATGATTGTTTCCATGGATTGCGATAGCTCGACAGGCGTAGGTTCATGATGCCCCTGTCAGATCCCTAGCAGGTGCACAACTCCAAAATCAAATTCAGCTTTGCTGGACTCAGTGACTAGCAGCAGCGAACCTGGACGAAGATCCAACAGGGAATTAAAAGGAATTAGCATTACACACAATCCCCAATCAAACTACTGCCTGGACAGGCATCTTCCTCAGACGTTTCACCAGAAAACATTATAAAGATAAAAATAAGCGAATTAAACAAAATCGCTGGCCAGTAACCCATACCACCATATTCCTGCCCGTGCAATTGCTGCCACTGCGGCCTGAAAGGACCCGGCGACTGCCTGGGACGCCGCAGCCAGGCGACGCCTCCCCATCCGCCGTTCTTTGATGCGGGTTGCGACCGCAACACAACACTGGAGACCGTTGGGCACCACCCGCATTCCGTCTGCTGATGTGGGCCGCGCTTTCGGCCATTTTCGTGACCTGCAGCCGGCGCCACCTCCTCGCTGGCCTGTCCACAGCCCGTCCACCGACCCCTCGACTGGCCCAGGTCGCCGCCCCTACAGATGCGCTCGCCACGTCGCCGATGCGGGGGCCGCCGCCGTGATTCGGAACCTACTGGCCCGTACCAGCACTGCTGGGTGTCATGCGCCGCTCCCGGGCGCTCCGGACTCCGCACGCCATCTTCAAGACCGTGGAGAACACCCTCACAAGCATCGCTCGCTCGGGAGTGGGCTTTCCCAACGCATGTCTTGTTTCCCTTTGCTGGACAACTAATCACCCACGGCCAATGCCACTCCATGAATGCCCAAATCCCCTCCCCTTCCCCCCCCCCTCCCCCCCGCCGCCCCTGAGGCCCCACACCTTGAGGGCCTTCCTCAGCAGCTCCAGCCTCTGGAGGCAGAAGCCCCGCATGTAGTACATCAGCTGCAGGGACGCGTCCACAGTCGTCTCGACCTCCGTCACACGGCCCTTGATGGCCTTGTCCAGAAGCTTCACCGCGCCAGAGAAGTTCAACCCCGACAGGGCCTCGAATACGGCATTCCGATCCATGGTGTGAACGACCAGGAGGGAAGTGGCTCCAGCGGCAAGTGAAATGGGGTGGGGGTGGGTCGGTTTGCCGTTGGGTGCGCCGTTGGGTGCACCGTTGGAGGGAGACGGTGAATGGGCACACGTACAGGGGCGAGCCCGTGAGCACGGCGTGGGTGGCCTAAAGGGGGCTTCTTTGTGACCTAACTGATCTAATTTAATCTTAATCTACAAGTCCGGAGCCTTGCGCATTGCACGCATGGTGCTCCTATGGGGTAACCCGGCCCAATGTTTGGTGAATCGGCGGTGATGGACATTTTGCGGTTTGTGGGATTCGAGAAGCAGTTGCCAAGCACGGTTGTTGACAAGTTCATCGGAAGTGTTGCACAACTGGACAGCAATAATATATCTTGACAGCTGCATTAGGTGTTCCATTTGGTGTTCTATTTTATTGCAACCAGAATCCGACATTTAGGAATGTTGTGATGTGTGCATTGTGTCATGCATATGACGAGATATTATATGATTGTGCCACATGCCATGGGTGCCGCCTAGTTAAGCACGATGTGTTGATCTAATCATGAGAACCTGGGTTGACAAAACATGTCCTGGGTCCGCAACATTCTTTGCATCATATATTCATTCTATGTTGTTGTTGTATTGCACGCCATAAGGCTGGACATGAGCGTACACTGCACACATGGGGTTCTGTGATTAACTTGGTAGCATGGCGTTGTGCTATCAGTTGGATTACCCACAGATCCCTATGAGGCCTGTGAGGCACCACAGTAGAAGTGGCCACCCGGATCCGTTAATAGCGGACAGAGGTTAATTTCCATTAATTAACGGAAAATAACGAAAAAAGACAAAAATTAACCAAAAATTAGCGGATTTTTGGATTTTTTGGGGATTTTTGGGGTTTTTTCATACTTATAGTTTATGGAATTCGCTATTAGTGTTGCGGGGCTCTTTTAATGGCCTCCGCTGGTCCCTTTTGTCGCGCGTGTCCCCACTTCATCCGCCTGCACCCGGTTGGGCCGATGGCCCCTCCGCCAAACCCGGCGGGCGTAATCGGGGTGCTCGTTCGTTCGTTGCGTGGTGGGCCCTCTTGCGCTCTGGGATCGGGCGGCCCTGCCGTTCGAAGATGGCGGGTTGCGAGGCAGCTTGCTCCCCGGGCCGCGAGGCCCGTGCGGAGCGTGGCAGTGAGCCAAAACGGGTAACAGAGCGGGGAGCAACGCACCCCCGCGTACGTACTGGTGGTCGGCCACATTCCGGCCTGGCCACCCGTCACACAGACACCATACAATGTACATCAACGTGTCGCAACTGTATCGCCCGGCATACCCCCGTATCGGACCCACCATCGATACATCGCAGCTCAGTCTACCCCCACGGCCTGTCCCTTAAGTATAGGGACTTCCCTAAGCCACAAAGTACTCCATACCTGGGGGATTTAGACAAGTAAAGAGCCTACGAGTATCTAGAGATCACAAAGAATCCAGATAATGGGTCTAATCCCATAGACGACTAACCAACCAAGACTAATGGCCATAATCCTCTCGACCCCCATGTGTTTCCACAACAATACTTCTCCCTGGGGGGAGTTTTCACCCTCGAAAACAAGACCGAAGTCAATGTCCTCTATCGGCTACCTAATGGTTGACCTAACTCTGAAGCTAGTGTCACCTCAGGTATACTCCACTGACCATCTGTCTAGTCCCTCTATGAAATTTCGGGATATGTTCCAGTGTCCAAGAAAATCAACCGATCTCCTTGCTATCGGGACCTCTTCAGTATCACTGCAACAGCTGCTCATCTCAAAAATCTCCAAGTCAGGTCTCTCCCACCATTATGTCGGATGTACACTTGTGTTCATCTTGAAAGCAGGAAAGATGAAATAACGCTATGAACTATGTCCGAATACAACAGGTCAGCACGAGTGCTATCTACCTGTACACTAAGTGTGTTGCCAGTCGACCAGGAGCATCCGGCTATCCACCACCTGATAAATCTGATGCAAAAACAGAAAACATATGAGCCAGCTATCTATTCGGGGATCGGTATAGATCTACTGATAATCCTCTTTGTCCTAATCCCTCAGATGAATCTCTCCGAAGTATATTTTCCTCTTTGAAACTGCAGTGTACCTTAGTCATTCCATCTCCATATCCACCATCACAAGGTATCCCAATAAAAGATTTCTCGACTTCTCACTGCACTGATCAATCATAGTCCTCTATATATCTCAGCCCAATCATCAATCAGTAAAGCATCGGTCTGGCCTCAACATCCGGTGTCCCATACCACTATCAATCTTACCAGCACCAAGCCTCCTGTCTCAAGGACTGAACATAAATCAAACTCCACTCAGATCTGAAGACAATGATGTAATCATGAAAACTCTTATCACCCGGCGCTACTCACAACAATCCTTTCAGATAAACACTGTGACCAGCCCGCTATCACCATCAACAATCTTGAGTCTCCAATCATACAGATCATGCACCACTGTACTGAGTCAACAAAATCCCAACACCATGGAAACAAAATGAATAGCCGCAACTCCTCTCTCAAAAGAATAAAGGTGTCTGTAGCTCATCTTTTTGTTTATACCTCTCTCTCGGATCCAGAGCTCATAAAAGAATGATAGATAAAATCAATAAATTTTGTCCACTTCCTTCCCAACTGTGCCCTCAGCCAGGATAGTCTCACCATGGGATGTTCTAAAAACTATCCAATGTCCTCAAAAATTTTTTCTCAGTCAAACATTTGGCGCCATTGTCCGACTGTCTTCTGGTCTGGGCTCAGCCAAATATGACCATGATTGTTAACATGGGAGCAAATATGAGCCTCCTCATGTCACAACCATCAATCTCAATATCAACCACACAGCCAAAATGTCCGACCGTCATCAAAGCAATCTCCTCTAATCTAACTCAATATGCCTCAATTTCGATACAGGTACAATCTCAACCGCTGACTGCAATCGAGAAAGGACTCCTCAAGTGTGATCAAGTGGCCTCTACCTCAATAACCAACCACGTCACAGAGCACCCCTGATCTAATATGGGCCATCATTCCTGGATTCCAACATAGTCGTCAATGCAGCATAATGTACTCTGGGCGCTCTCGGTCGACCTCCTATTATGGGCCCGGAGGGAATGCGATCAATGCGCTGGGCGCCCCCATTTTTAACGACTGGGGGATGGGCACTTCCTCTTACGAATACTGTGAGGGCAACAATCAGCGTTTTAAAAGGATTACTAGTAGATGGGTATCAAACCCCGTGTTGGTAAATATCGCAGCTTTTGGTTGTGGGAGCCGCGCTTACGGTTTTAAACGCTTGCATAAAGGCTTAAGCGCCGCGGGGAACCTTTGGGATCAATGACAACGCGGACGGGATACAAACATTCTGAACAGGTTAGAGCGGGTAGCGCCAGAATTGGGATGACTCATCAATTTCTAGCACTTTGGGATTCCCGGCACCTATAAATACCGGGTGT